CAGAGAAACTATTGGTAGCGGTATCAATGGAAGCCAAATCAAACAAAGGCACGTCTACATTGTCCTTGCAGCTTTCTTGGCCTATTCTGACACTTTAGCCTCTAAGTCTAAACGTAATTGAAAGATAGAGATGATGATTTAGTAATGTAAGCTGCATTTAATTACCTCTTTTCCATATTTTGTAGCATAACAGAGCACAAGATAACCATGCCAAGAATGAGTGAAAGCAGTATGGCGATCTTTATTCTTTTCTTATCATTTGAAGTATAGGCTGATCCTGAAACAGACAATTGCAGCAGCAAGACAGGTTCATCGTGTAACTAAAATACAACTTTCCAGTTGAAATTTTAATTAAAAACCAAAAAACAAAATCAACAAGGTCAAACACATATGCTTACCTCTATTCCATTTTTCCCACAGGAGAAGGGAGAACAACATGCCCAAGACATTCATTCCGGAAATGATTGAAACTACTACGACGATCACTACTCGTTTCTTGACATTTGAAGCACCGACTGATCCTTTAAGAGACAATGTGAAGTCTAAACTATAATTTTCTTAAAATAAATTGACCTTCTAATTTTTTTTCAAAAATGCTAAGCCGTAACACAGGAACCTTGGCTAAAGCATTCTTTAGGCCTAACACCATTTTTAAAGATTTTTTTTCCTTACATAAAACAACAGGACAGCAATTCTGTTTGTTTCCACCAGTTAATGTTGCAGGGAAATATTATGATGTAAATTTTCCAATCTTATGTGATGCTTGTGGGTTTTTAAAGCTGATTCAACTTATAATTAAGCAAATGGTTGTGGTTCATGTTGCAACCAGAAACTTCTTATTAGGACCAATGCAATTTTCAGAAGAAATTATGTAACAAAACAATGAAAAAACGACGATAAAAGTTATATTTCTCATAGTTTACATACCTAGTTCTGAAGATGGTACTCTTACATAGATATCATGCCTCATCATTTGTCCTGATAGGTCTTTCATATCAATCAGGTCCCCATACCACATCACGCAACCCTGCTCTTGTTCATCTAATTTCGTGATTGCATAAGCACTACAAGAGCAGTTTTTTAAGCAGTCCACCTCACATTCCTTCAGACTCAAACTCTCATTCAACTTGAACTCTATCAAGTCAGGCAGTTTCATCCCAACAAGTTTTAGAAACACCTCTTCATTTTGGCAATCTGATGACAATTCTTTGACACACTTTGTAGACCAATTGTGGTGTGATTCAGGTCTGAAACCTTTCAGACATTTACAAATTGGTGTCTTGTTGATGCCGCAAATACCATTTGCACCACATTGGCCATACACATCACATTAGTCTCTTGGCGCTAAGTAAGCTGTGGTGCTCCTTTCATTCCATATAACACGCAGGGAAGTACCTGAATGGTTCAAGGTTAATCGTGTAATAATTGGGTTATTGAAAGGCTCGTAACTGTAATAGATTTCATCCCCATTATGCACCAAAGATGGTACAAAAACCAAGTTGGGAGACGAAGGAGTACCACCAAAGTTAAATTCATCCCATGGTCCACTACGAAACACTTTTGCTGATCCCAAGTAAATAACTAAAGAAGGCAAACCTTGAATGCTGAGTCTGCAAGTAAAGTTTCCTGGAGACGGATCATCATCACTTTTCCAAGCTGTTAAAAACCATTCTGATCCAGTTTTTAAGCTCCTTCCAAGCTTCAGGCCCGGCAACAGCGTATCTGACAGGTAATCAAAGCTCTGCCTCAGATAGATCTCAACAGCAAGTTGCATTGTTTTGTTGTCTTTAACAACAAAGTTTTCAGAATCTAAGAGAAGTGCCACTGGACCTTCTTCTTTTCTAGAGACATTTGAAGACCAAACAGTGCTGTTTGTTCCATCAAAGAGTATCAGTTTTCCATCACTGTTGATGGTTAAAACTCCACGTGCATCAGCAATTGGGCAGTTTCTGTTTGCAACCCTCACAACTGCCCCAGGAATTTTCTTGTAACATATCCCCAGGAATCTGTTCTTTGAGTTGCCAGGAGAGAAAAATCCCAGTTCAAATCTTTGGGATGAAGAAACCAATGTCTCACCATCACTGATGGATTGCACTGGAGTTATCATATCAGCTGCAAATGACAACTTCATGATTGATAAAAACATCAAATGGTATAAAAAAGGGTTTCTCATATCAGAGTTATTCATTTAAGTATTGTTTAATGTTAAGGTGGTTTCAGTATAGAACACAATGATAACAGAACAGGAATTGCCAAGATCTACATGTAAGGAATGGGAATAGAGAGGAGAATTTGGCAGAAATGTTTAGTTCATGTTCCACTTGACCATGTATTCACGTTATTTTACTTGTCAAAAAGAAACAAAATATAAAAATGTACTTGTCAAAGTCTGAATTTCATTAAAACCGTACAAAATTGAAATCCCATGAAAAAAATCCCCTAGAAGTCGATGAGTTTCACGTGTTGGCTGACCCAGTCTGCCACTTTTGTTCCAAGGAGGATTTTAGTTAACTTGGTTAGTGGGTTTTCAGCCTTCAAAAACGAACTATAACTATCTGACCTAACTTTTAGTGTGCTACATTTATCACAATTTATAATTTTTTTTGGACGAATGAAGAATTAAGCTGGATATGGTGACCTTAAAGTCACCCTAAAATCCAAAACAAATGATAAGAGGGAGAAGAGTTTTGGTGAGAAAGCACACATACTAATTTTCATTAAAAGTGAATATATAAACAATACAAAAATAAAGTTTCCAAGTTATTTCCTAATCCAACCACTACAAAGTACATTTGTCCGCCACTAAAATTTTTTTAGTTATATGGATTATATTTTCAACAGTCCATGTCACAAAAATCATCAAAAAAGCTAGTTATATCACTGCATTTAACCGTTTATGATAATTGAGGAAATGTTTGGCTAAAATGGTGACTTGAAGCTGAAGTCAATCGATTGCTGTCCGCTAAATAATATTTCTACATACAGTCTTACAATACCATTCAAGAATAGCTTAAAATGCTATCGAGCCTCAAAGGCTGAAAATGTTACATCATTTACAGAGAAAGTTTCTTGCCTGCTCTTCACCAATTGCAGGTTCCCTATGCTTCTTACATTTAAGAAGGCAGGTTGTTTAGGAGAAAGTAGGATCATACTTTCATTGTTAAGCATTGAGACAACATCAGACGTGGTTGGTCTATCATCTGCACTTTCTTGAACACAAAGCAACCCTAAGTTAATATATCTCATGGCCAAATGCGTCGATACTCCCTCTAGCACTGGATCAATCAACTCCAATCCCTTGTTGCTTATCCACAAATCCCATGCCTTAAACCACAAGAAAAATCGGCTATAAGAACAGGACTTACTGACGTTATTGTGCAAGCGATTGCAATTTTTTTATACATACCAATTCTTTTTTTTTCATTTCAATTAAATGATAAATACGTGAATTTAATATATCTAACTGATCTTGTCATCAAACGTCACAAAATTAAGGAGTTCAGATACTCACATGTCCAAGAAGATGGAGAGAATCAGATTGATAAAATCCAGTGTTCTTCTTGCCACTCAGGATCTCTAGCAATAAGACTCCGAAGCTAAAGACATCGGATTTGATAGAGAAAAGGCCTTCAAGTGCATACTCAGGTGACATATAACCACTGCAAGCAAGTAGTGAAACTTTGTTAGTAAGTGCGTCTCTATGAGTACATATGCATAGTCAAACTCATCCGGGTTTCAGATGACAAGTGTGGAAGTTCAACTAATTGAGAGGTTCCATTTTAATTCTACTTACTAAGTCCCTACAATTCGATTTGTGTTTGCTTGTAACTCATCCCCTCCGAAGATTTTTGCCATTCCAAAATCTGATATTTTCGGATTCATGTTGTTGTCCAACAGTATATTACTAGCCTTCAAATCTCTATGAATAATTCGCAGTCTAGAATATTGATGAAGATAAAGAAGCCCTTGAGCAATTCCTTCAATGATACGAACCCGTGTGTCCCAGTCTAGTAACCTACGCTTGCTTGAATCTGTTTAACATCATAAACATGATGTTAGCCAATAGTCCAATGATCATGGTAAAGAAACGATAATTGACTTCGATATCTAGCAAAATACAAACCAAATAGAAAGAAATCCAAGCTTTTATTAGGCATGTATTCATAAATTAGTATCTTCTCATCCTTCTCGATGCAGCAGCCTAAAAGTCTGACAAGATTCTTGTGTTGGAGCTTGGCTATGACCAATGCTTCATTTTTCAACTCTTCCCATCCTTGTCCAGATCTTTTTGAAAGCCTTTTAACAGCTATCTCATCTCCTTTCAGTAATGTTCCCTGAAATTGGCTTGATTTTATCCCAACACTTCAATCCTAAAGTACGTAAATGACATTTGCTAGCATTGCAAACATGGCAGGGTCAAGTTATTGAAAGAACCAGTAACTAAAGGTTAAAAAGTTCATACCTTGTAGACAGGTCCAAAACCACCCTCCCCAAGCTTATTTGTGGCTGAGAACTTATCTGTTGCTGCAGAAACGCTTGCAAAACTGAACAATGGCAGTTTAACTTCTGGTTTCTTATGTGCTGGAGGCATATTTGCCTCTGTAAGTTCTGTATCATCCGGTTTTAGGCTCATTGCCAAATCAAATTTTAATAAATCCTCCCCTGAAAGTTGTAGAAAAGTGAAGTTATGGCTTCCTTGAATGCTACTCATGTGTCACAGCTTGCTTTTTTTTTTTCAAAAATATACTTTTAAATTTAATTTAACAAAAGATTTAACAATGAAATGCCAAAATTGAAACAATTTGACCAAGAAAACAATTGAAACTACTTCATTGGACAGAGGAAAGTGCTAGAATATGCCAGAGAGAAAGTGTTACGTTTCACTTGGAGCTTTCTTCTAACATAATGAATCAAGAGACACAGCACAAGCATTGACAGAGATATGGTCAGTATGACAATAGTCCACAACTGCATCTTGTTGCCTGTTGTTTGATGCCTATTCATAGTTCCATTTTTTGCGAAAACATCTGCGAAACAAAGTCAAACAGCAGTTATATATACTGTACTACCATATTAGTTATACTATCCAAAAGGTTAGTCTTAAAGAAAGCAGCTCCCTTTCTTTGTCAATCAGGGTTTGACTCTATGAGTAAAATCCTGAATGCATCTGGTCGATGATCAGTGATAGTCAAATTTCCATTGTTCTTACCTACGGTAATCAACTCAGAAGCCGGAAGTTTGAGATAAAAGTTTTTTTCACTAGTGTCATTTATTGCAAGTTGTTTGAGATCAAACAAATTGCTAAACCATGCTAAGCACCCGAGTATGTGATCATAGGAATAAGCTATGCAAGAACAGTCCCTCAAGCAAGCTGAGCGGCATGCTAACGCACTGCTAACATTGAATGCCTTTGGATCACTTGGAAAATCTACAAATTTCATCCAATAAAACCCATAATTCTGGATATGATCACCACTATCGTTGCACTGCAGCAAGTTGGTTTTCCTCACGCAACCCTGATCATATGTATGACGCTCACTCGAAGTATTGCCAGATAAAGGTCTGAAACCTTTCAAACAGCTGCATGGCTTCTGGACAGCCGTGATGTTGCAAACACTGAAAGCTCCACATAGGCGATATGAACACTTGGAAGACTTTAAAGTATGCCAACTTTGGTCATCTTCAGACCAGGACTGTATCTTAAGTTGTCCAAACGCATCCAATAGCATTTGCATAATCCTAGAAGTATCAGGAGAAACCCAAGTAACGTAAAAACGGCCATTCTTATAAATGCTGTAATTTTCAAACTCATGAAAAGAACCAGTCCAGTATGTTTGGGGACCCTGCCAAACGGTCAAATTAACATCAAAATCCATATATTCCGTGGAATACATATATCCCAGGGAGAGGGAGAAAGAACCAGGGGCAGGATCTTCCAGACTTCTCCAGGACACCAACGACCAAGTATTTCCGTATACCTGGTCATATCCGAGATTCATTCCAGACAAAAGAGTGTCGGTAGGATAATCAAAACTTTGCCACAAAACTTCTAAGCTACTTCGGAGTTGCAAGACGAGATTACCTGAATCTAGAAGCGTGGCAAACGTGTTGCTGTTGTTGCTAGTTGTAATGTTTGTTACCTTGTAGGACATTTTACCATCTGAAATCTCAAGCTTTCCTTCAGAGTTGATGGTAAGATTAGAAGAGCTACTCAGGAAGGGATATTCTCTATTTGCCACCCAAACTATTGCCGGCTTGGACACTTTTTGCCATATTCCAAGATAGTAATTGGAGGTCTTTCCCGGAGAAAAAAAGCCAAGTTCGAATTTCCCATTCGATGATATAATGGTCTTTGGATTGGTGATTGTTTGGCCTTGAAAAATTGTATCAGTGCCATTTGTGGACTGCAAGGGAATGAAATAAGATAACCAGCAAGCTAACAAGAGGAGCAAACCAACCTCTCATCATTTACAGATGATTTCCAGTGATCAGATTGAGAATCGTATAAATGGATTTCTGGGATTAAAGTATCCATTCAAGTCATCTCTAAGTCAATCCTATTTGCGAGTCAGTTTAGAGAACTTTGTTCTTTAGCTTTTGGTCAAGTCGTCGTCGTAGAGAAGAGAAAGGCAATACATCTAATTATGTAATACCGGTATAAAAAAAAAAAAAGACTATTTCATAGGCCTTTTTAAGTGGAGGAACTTTTTAATAAAGAATGAAAAATGCATAAGATTTACTGATAAATAATTCAAACTTTTAATAAGATTAACATATTCTAGCTGTTTGGCTAAATCCAAACAAAAGAAAATGCTTATTTCTCCTCTCTTCTTATATAAAGCAAACAAGTTGAAGGTTTTTAGCAAAAGTCAAGATCAAAATCTACAAGGAGAATTGTCTTTCAAAAGTGACTAAATAACCTATTTCAATTTTGAAGAAATAATTTTTTATTATTGAGTCTCGGAGCTTAACTTATAATGTAGAAACTTAAAAATATTAAAAATCTATTATCACTCTTCAAGATTGATTTCAGCAAATCAATTAGACTTTAATTAGTTCATAATGAAATGTTAATATAGTTTTATAATGTGATTTTATGGTTGTAAAAATAGAAAACAGAAATTGGATGGGGTTAAAAAGAAAAAAAAATTATGTTTCATATAAACTCTTATGTTTACGGTGGTAGACTAAAACAAAATTCTATATTAAGAGATAAAATATTATTATAATTATTAATACCGTTGGAAAGCTTATTTAATTTACCTTCCAACGAAACAAACGGAAGTCGATTCTGAATTTTCTATTAAGAGTTGTTTAATTTTTACTTAAAGATGTATAGGCTGTCTGACAACAGCAATAGAAAGAAATTACGAAAATTCTCTTAATTTTTATACAATAAATTATAAATAGGGAATTCTAAATGCACCCCATTGAATGCTATATACACCCTACTTCTATATACACCCAAATTCAAAACTCATTTTCCTATTTCTGTTAAATATACCCCACCTCTCACTTTGACCTTTTTCCATTCATACCATTTCTCTCTTCTTCTA